GGCTATTGTCGATAGTGCTGCTATAAACATTGGGGTGCGTGTGCACCTTTGAAACAGCACTCCTGTATCCCTTGGATAAATACCTACTAGTGCAATTGCTGGGTCGTAGAGTAGTTCTAGTTTTAATATTTTGGGGAATCTCCATACTGTTTTCTAGAGTGGATGCACCAGTGTGCATTCCCATCAGCAGTGCAAAAGAGATCCTCTTTCTCCACATCCTTGTCAACATCTGTTTTTGCCTGAGTTGTTAATGTTACCCATTCTGACTGGTGTGACGTGGTATCTCGTTGTGGTTTTGATTTGTATTTCCCTGACGATGAGAGATGTTGAGCATTTTTTCATGTGTCTGTTAGCCATCTGGATGTCTTCTTTGGAGAAATGTCTATTCACTAGCATTTACATTTTATAGTTGAGAATGCAAAAATGCAGGCAGGGGAAGTGACTTTCCTAAGGTCACAAAGCTGGAGACAAAAGCTATGCCTTAAATCCAGGACTTCTGATTCCAAGTCCAACGCACATACCACTAAACTCCAATCAATGAAGGATTTATCCACAAGTATTTACTGAACACAATCTATAATGATAATAAAATAAGGGGACAATAATTCCAGTATGCCATTATTTGTGTATATGCTGCACCTGTTATCCACACACTTCAGAAAAACTCCGTAGGATATATATGATTACTCTATTTTATTCCAGATAAGGAAACTGAGGCTTAAGAAGATTGCCGCTAAGTATCAGAATTAGAACTCAAAATAAATCTATCTGAGGGGTACCTGGGTTGGATGAGCTCCAGCTCAGTTGGTTGAGCATCCAACTTCAGTTCAAGTCATGATCTCACGGTTTGTGAGTTTGAGCCCCACATCAGGCTTACTGCTGTCAGCACAGAGCCCCCTTTGGATCCTCTGTTCCCTACTCTCTCTGCCCCTCCCCCGCTTGCGCTCTCTCAAAAACAAATAAACATTAAAAAAAAATAAGTCTGACTCCTACACCCATTACAATTTATACCTTAGCCATGGACCATACTTTGTGTGATATAAAAATGGACAAAGCACTATCCCTAACTTGAGGAAGTCTCAGTAAAAGTGCAGAGGTAGCTAATGCTAATGGGGAGCATTAGACTGATAACTAACAGTATGTGGCAATATGTCATTAGTTGCAGATAAGCAGTATAAAGAAAATGCGTCAGGCTTGCACTGGCAGTGCAGAGCCTGCTTGGGATTCTCCCTCTCCCTCTCTCCCTGCGCCTCCCACCTTGTGTACACATGCTCTCTCTCTTTCTCTTTCTCTCTCAAAATAAATAAACTTAAAAAAAAAAAAAGAAAATGTGTCACACAAGTCAGGTAAGGTAGAAACATGGTGGTTTGGGGTAATTATAGAAGTTGTCAAAGCAGAGATAGTGTATCAGTTAGGATATACTGAGTTATTTAGTAGCAAAGCAATCCCCAAATTTCAGCAGCTTAAACGAGGTTTTATTTTTCACTATTGCTACATATCTATTAACAGTTGGCTGGGTGCTCTGCTTTTTGTCTTCCGTAGCTGACAGGGCAGCTACCAGAGGGGGGAAAAGTGTGTGAGTCATATTTTGGCTCTTAAAACTTCTACTTCTCCCACTTCACTAGCCAAAGCAAGTCACACACCCACATCCAAAAAAATGCAATCTTATAATATGCCCAAGAGGAGAATCATAAACGTGGTAGACAGCGTAACTCCCACTAATGGAATCTGTACCAAGTCCAGAAGCATTGGCCTGAAGATGTGCTTATTTGACAATAGTAGGAGGATAACAGGGACTTTCTTTTTATTTGAGGAAGAGAGAGAGCAAGCAGGGGAGAGGGACAGAAGGAAAGAGAAAGAGAGAAAGAGAGAGACAGAGAGAAAATCCTAAGCCAGCTCCATGCTCAGCACAGAGCCCAATGCCAGGCTCGATCCCACAACTATGGGATCATTACCTGAGCTGAAATCAAGAGTTGGACACCTAACCAACTGAGCCACCCAGGCACCCCATCAGGGACTTTTCTAAAGAAGAATTTTCCAAGCAGTGAAGTGAGGGAAAAGTATTTTGGCAGAAGAAGAGTTTTTGCCATTGAGTACTCCAAAAGAACTTAAGGAATGGGAAGAAATGGGAAATGGGTAATGGATAAGTGCTGAAGCTAGAAAGAGCTTTAAATGTTGTGCTATGGGGTTTGGACTTTATATATTTTTTTAAGTTTATTTATTTATTTTTGAGAGACAAGAGAGGGAGAGCACAGGGAAGGGACAGGGAGAAAGGGAGACAGAGGATCTGAAGTGGGCTCCGCGCTGACAGCAGAGAGCCAGACTTGGGGCTCAAACTCATGAACCATGAGATCATGACCTGAGCCGAAGGCAGATGCTTAACCAACTGAGCCACTCAGGTGCCCTTGGACTTTATCTTTTAAAATAAAAGATTTTGAGGCAGGGGATTAACATAATTAGATCTGAACTTTATTTAGAAAGATCAGTGGGGAATGGACTGGATGTGGCTGTGATGTGGGGAATGGACTGGAAGAAGAGATGGAAAGCAGGAAGGCTAGTTAGAAGATCTTTGCAGTGGTTCAAGTAAGTCCCAATAAGGATTTAAACTAGAGTGGTAGCAATGAGAATGAAGTCAAACAGATTCAAGAGGTATTTAAGAGATGAGTTATATAGGGCATGGTGATGAATTGGAGGTGAAGTGATGAGAAATCAAAGACAACAGTTATCTGTTACCTCATTTTCTCCATGTCCTCAGCAATTCAGCTCTGGTCTAGACTTGCACAACTTTACTCAGCAAAAAAATCTGTACTTACTACACCCACTATCCTTGGGGAGCATATAAATCTCCAACTCCTGTTTATTGAGCATGATCTTTGGGTGTCTTACTCTTCACCTCAAGCAGCTTATCAGAGTATCTCTTCTGACCACATACAATATTTCTTCCTACGAACTCTGGTAAGAGTTCTTTCTAAAAGTTCTCCAGTTCATAAATGAGTGAGTGGATGAATGAATTAATATATAAATGAATGAAGAGATGGATGAGTGAGTGAACACATAACACTGGGAATTTTAGGCACTACTGAGAGAAATCATCAATTCGCACTATCTATGCAGAAGTTTTTTGGACCTATGAAACACTTCAACAGTATTTAATCCACCCCACACCCCTTGCCTTTGCTTCCTGAGCTCCCACACCACAAATGAGACTCCTCCCACCCATCTGCAGGCCAGGCCCCAAATCTTGTCCTGTGAGGTTTAGAGAGGTTTAGAATTAAGCCACCCATCCAGACTAGAGATTTAAAGGCCCAGGCAGGATTTTTAAGCAGCTGGTCTCAACTTTTCTCACTCTGCCTGTGTTGTATCATTTCC